TTTATTAATTAGTTATATATAGTATTTATTAACTATATATATATATATATTCGCTATCTGATTGTTATTTAATGTATTTTGATACTCGACAGGGTGTTTGCCGGATACTTCTCGGGCCGCCTTTACAAGACACTCAAGGGCAAGGAATGGAAGAAGAGTGCTGCATTGGTAAGTGCGCACGTGTACGTGATAAACCAGTCTTATCCCATATTTGGATAAACCGGGGTTTTCTTTACATGTTAACGGATATCCCCCAAAAGTTCGTTATTCTATCGTGATAACATCAAAACATACGATCACACAATAGTCGACCTTGGCTTTGTATGTGCCCAGATTAATCAAATTGGTACCTGTCGTGCTATTACGATGTATTCATATCCGCCTATCACGATTCGTATATCCAGGCATACGTAAGCAAATGCCTATACGTATTGAAAAACCTGTGGCAATGTGTACCTACATTAATCCATCGACATATGCATATACTCAAAAGTACAAGAATTTTCGGGTGTATCTCCTTGCTGGAAGTTGCTATAAATGAATTTAGAATACCATCTGAATGTAGTGCTCGAAGTAAATTTGTCTATATATACCCATACACCGACTCACTCACACACACACACATATATATATAAATATATATATATATATATATGTGTGTGTGTGTGTGTGTGTATATGTATATGTAAATATATATATATATACATCAATGTAGGCTTTTACGTACATACATGAATGTACATAAACATGTATCGAACACCCTAATCTGAAACAGACCGCCCGCCTACAAAACCGAAGCTTCTGTGTTTGATTAAAAATCCTTGTTTGGTTATACATATTTGTGCAACCAATGGCACAAACATGTCCGACAAGTTACCTTGGTGTCCAATACACTCGCGTATACATACAATGTCTTCTGATTTCACGCTGATTGCCGCCTATCTTGCCTCTACTTAGTTAATTGCCAACTGTCTATTATTTCTCTACGTACCTATATGCACAATCCCAATGGATACGATACTTTATGCCATTCTTTCTATGACTTCAACGCACAATCTAGCTCGATGGTAAGTTCTCTGCCAATCATCTCCTTCCTTCCAACCCATATACAATCTTCATCGACCTCAAATCACCGCCCCTTTCTCACCTTCCTTACAACTCATATACATTTCCTCACTCGTCTCAGACCGCCGGGCTGTTTCCCACCATCCTGCTGGTCACTGTGCTGACGCTGAACATGTTAATCTGGGGTCAGAAGTCGAGCGGGGCGGTGCCTGTGTCGGCCATGATTACGATCATCATCATCTGGGCGTCCGTCTTTCCGCTCGTGTTTCTGGGTTACTTCTTCGGCTACAGGAAAAACGTATGTCTGTACTATTGCTGTGTGTGTGTGTGTGTGTGTGTGTGTGTGTACATAGAATCCTGTGGATGTATTGATTCGTTCTCAGGGGTTGTGCACTTGTTTTAGAGGTTTCAGGTGTATGGACTTCGGAGAGTTTCATCTGGGAGAAGGGTTTTGCCTCGGGCGTGTAGTGTAGTAGTATAAGACCCGTGTCCGGAATGTCCATGTTATACCACTCGATTTCTGTTTAATCTTTTTAATACGATGTAACTTGTATATTGTATCACCACATTCTATTCTTTCGCTTTTTTCTGGCGAGTGTCAAGGTGCCAGTAGTGCCGTCTACTCGATCTGTAGGGTTAAACCTACAAGACGCACGCGTTGTTTCCCGACTTAGAAACAGATATGTGGTCTATATAGCATGTCTATAGCTACCTGTACATATTTGTCCAATGTAATGCGCTCGACTCATTTTAGTGTGCCGTATCGGATATGTGGCGTATAATGTATGTCTATAGTTCTACATACTAGTTCTAGATATATATCCAATGAGAATGGCTCATTTTAACAAAGTCCACGGTGTGCGACATGTGGTGTATGATGCATGTCTATAGTTTTACATATATATCCAATGGGAATCGCTCATTTTCAACCTATCTATCCAATGAGAATGGCTCATTTTAACAAAGTCCACGGTATGCGACATGTGGTGTATAATGCTTCTCTATAGTTTTACATATATATCCAATTACATTTCTAACCAATGAGAATCGCTCATTTTCAACATATCCATCCAATGAGAATCGCTCGTTTTAACGAAGTGCACCAAATGGGCTATGTGGTCTATATAGCATCTCTGTAGTTCTACATGTGTATTCAATGCGAATCAGATCTCTTCAGGCAGTCCACCGTGTGGCTACGGATTTGTGTGGAGTGTAAAGAACTCAAGGGCAGACATTGAGACATGCCACACGGCACTAATGCAACCACTAACCTCTTGACTTCTGACGTTACACCGTTTGTCTCTAGTCCTTTTATGCAGGATTCGGGTGCAGACCCTGGTAAAACCCCAAAACCCTGGTATTTTGTGGGATACATATGTGTTTCTGTAAATATTTATGCATGTCGTTTGTTTATATATAAATACATTTGAAAGTATTCGTAATTGCATCACTATGAATGCACATGTGCTCGTACAAAAATATACACATATACATACGTAACTTATATATATATATACATATTTATATATACTTACAGACATATATATACATATTAACATACATGTCTATAAATATCACATACAAACATACCTATGTACACATATTAGCATACATAAATATACAGATATTTCCCCACGCACTTCAAAATACCTAAGTACTTCTATTGAGACATACCATCAACCCGAGGCCGGCGTTTGCCCAGTGAAAGTGCTCCATATTCAGTCGATAATCGCTATAAGATGTATATATCCGCGCTACAAATGTAGTCAATGCTTGCTACAATATGTATACATACATGGGAGTACTTCAGATAACCTAGACTCCAGCGGCCATACCCGTTAGTGTGCCCATCATAATGCGTCCTAAAAATTAAAAATCGGTACCTTTTTTCGGACCGGTTTGTCCACGCATGACCACATGCTTATTCGTATCTCTTCGTATTGTACTCCAGGCGTATGACCATCCCGTGAGGACCAATCAAATACCGCGGCAAGTCCCGGAGCAACAGTGGTACATGAGCATCCCAGCAGCGTATGTTCTCTTATACGGCAGCGACCAAGTCTTGATAGAGCATACGTAAATAGGACCTCCGCCAATATGACCTACACCTATTAGTAGATGCGAACAGGTTATAAGTAAATCAGTACAACCGTATGGGCTTGGTTGTGTCAGGACAGTGTCTTGTCGGGTAGTAGGCTCCAACGGTGTATGTGCTCTTATACTTCGAAGCCTTGCCGTGGTTGACCTATTCGACGAACTAGATGTGTACATTTTAGTTAATGGTTATGGGCTATACTTGCCCAGACACTCCTATGGATTAACATTGTGTACAGAGTTATTAATTTCACACGAGTACTATATATATATTATATTATATATAAATATCTATATCTATGTATATGTATGTATTTGTATATGTTTATGTGTATGTATATATTCGCAATGAATACCCTCCAATACCTGTATACGACATGGGTATTCGTATATAAAAATACCACGCCCATGCCCTTTCTCGCTCCCCCTCACCCTAGTACGCATCTCCACAATATACCGAACTGCAATCGCATTTCATCAGCACACTATCTACTGACACTCATACCCTAAACCCTACCCCCCTACCCCCTCACACAGAATGCTGCTGGCCGGTACACTGCCCTTTGGAGCGACGTTCATTGAGTTCTACTTCATCTTCTCAGCCATCTGGCAGAATCAGATCTACTATTTGTTTGGCTTCCTGTTCCTGGTGTTCTTCATCCTCATCATCTGCTGCTCTGAAGTCACCATCTGCATGGTCTACTTCCAGCTCTGTGCCGAGGTATATATATATATATATGTGTGTGTGTGTGTGTATGTGTGTGTGTGTGTGTGTGTATCTACTCCGTGTCTTAGTTCGGTT